AGCCATGACCGCATCCTCAGGGTGGAAGAGCAGGTATGTTTTAGCACACTCAATGGCCTGCTCGTATTTCTCACCTGGGAGAGAAACAGATTAAAGCTTTAAAAATGAACTCAGACATAAATAATACATGCATTTAAAACATTCTGCAGTACACAAAAATGTAACTTTATTGGCAACACCACAATATCTCTAACTGCTGTGCAAACTTTGATGTACTTAAATAAACTACAAAAACATACATATGTGTATGTATATATATATATATATATATATATACCATCTCAAGGATGATCAGAAGAAATGGACAGCACCTGAGTTAAATATATGAGTGTCACAGCAAAGGGTCTGAACACTTAGGACCATGTGATATTTCAGTTTTTCTTTTTTAATAAATCTGCAAAAATGTCAACAATTCTGTGTTTTTCTGTCAATATGGGGTGCTGTGTGTGTTCTATTAATGAGGAAAAAAAATTAACTTAAATGATTTTAGCAAATGGCTGCAATATAACAAAGAGTGAAAAATTTAAGGGGGTCTGAATACTTTCCGTACCCACTGTATACTCACATATGCATTTTTGATTAATGCTAATTCTGGCAGTGTTTTTTAGCATTATTTATATACTACTAGAATATTTATTAATATTTTGAATTAACTTTTTATATTCATATTTAGTATTTTTCAGTGTTATTAATTTTGTACTTTCAGTACTTCAACTTATTTTCGTTAGCTGCAAAGGCACTTCAATTTCAGTTTTTTCCTAATGAAAAGTTTTTTAATGTATGCTTTTTTATCTAATATTCTATTTTATTGTAGATTTAGTTCAATTACTAAAACCAGGGTTATTATAGTTAACTCAAATGAAAACCATAACAAAACATTTTCATTATTTGAAATAAAAGAAACATTAACTGAAATAATATAAAAAGCTTAAACTTATTTTGTTTATGCTTTTCAATCTAATATTTTATTTTATTGCAGATTTATTTCAGTCACTGAAACCAGGGTTGTAATAGTTAACTAAAACTAAAACCATAAAAAAAAAAAAAAAAATTTCGTTATTTGAAATAAAATAAACGTAAAACAAAACTTAAACTTATTTTATTTTAGCGAATTGCCAAGACAACATTTCTTATTTTAATTTACTTTAATTTGACATACTAAAATAACTAAAAATATATAGACAGCAATAAAACAATATTGGTTTTGGTTTTAGTTAACAATAACAAAACAGAAATCTGGTACTGAATATGCTTCTGCTGACGATGAGTGTATCGTACTGTTATAGAATGAGAACTGAAGGTAGTTAAAGTGTGATGGGAGGAAATCTTCAAAAGGCTTCTCTCTTCCAGCGGTGGATGCCAGATCCACAGCGCAGTTCTGTTTGCAGTTCAGAACGTGAAGGTAATGATCTGTGATCAAAGCAAACATAGACATGAATCTCTCATATTTATAAAAAAACATATTTATAAAACATTTAGTGTAACAGAACTACATACAAGAAAAAGAGAAATCAAATGAGACATCAAACACCATGAGATTTTAAAATGACATCAAATTAAATCAAAGAGAATCTGGTGTTGTTAAATCAAAAGCATGAGAATATCACGTGCCTGTCATAGATTGAAAGAGATCGGCGTTGTACTCCATGTACTTGTAACCGTCATAATCGAACGCTCCCTCGCAAAGAACCCTGCATTCTTCATAAGCGGTGAAATATTCTTCAACAGCGGTTTCAAAGTGCTCGATGGCTGGGGCAAAATCTTCTGCACTGTAATGAATCTTGCCCTCTAAAAATTCAGCCTGGAAATCAGCAATTACAGGTACAGTCAATTATATTCCAGCATTATAAACATTTTATAAGGCAGTAAGATCTAGACATATTCAGATTAACAAACATTGCTCGTACCATGTGCGGTCTCTCCTCCAGGTCCTTGAAATCTGTCTCTTGCACCCCAGCCATCATCATGTAGTACTCTAAATTCTGTTTCATCTCTACGTGGTCAGGGTTTGCCATGAAAAATGTATTTGCTGCTGCCACTGCCTTGTCAAGCTTGTTAATCTGGAAGTACAAAGAAAACAAAGAAATATTCAGATATTGGTTAGAAAACACTCATGCTTTCCAAGTTATACTTTAGAGACAGAATTGTTCCTAGAATATATAGCTAAACTTCAAAATAAATAAATACATACATAATCATATTAAAAGTCATATGCAAGACATAAGCAGCACAACTGTTTTCAACATTAGTAATTTTTTGAGCACCAAATCAGCATATTAGAATGATTTCTGAAGGATCATGTGACCATGAAAATTCAGCTTTGCATCAGAAATAAAATATATTAAAATATAAAATTAATAGTACACATTATTTCTGTTTTACTGTATTTTTGATCAAATAAATGCCTTGGTGAGCATAAAAGAATTTAAAAAAAACATTATAAAAGTCGGTTCTTATATATATTTGAATGATATATTAAATTAATGACTATCATTAAAGTAGTGCTGTTGTCATTGAAGCAATCCTTGAAATTTATGATGACTTTGCTGTTCATACTTGTTGATACTATAGTTTTTTAATGCAACGACGATTTTCATTTCATTAGGCCTAGTGGTCTGAGGCTCATGCCCCCGACTGTATATCTCATTTAAACCATCATTTTACAAGGCAGTGGTATGTTAAAGCCCCTGAGCAGTTCTAAAACTCTGCAAGGCTCCACCTAAAGACGTGGCACAGTGATGGGAGTTTGGGGGGGGGTTGGGGAAACGTGGAAGAGCTTCTTAAACGGTTAACCATTCAGTGACAAATGCATAAATGTTGTGTACAAAATCTGATCAAATGTACCTGATGCCCATTTATGCATCGATAGAATGTATTTGATAACTCGCTATTCTTTGTTTACAAAAAGCTTTATGCTAATGAGATGCACTGATTTTATCCCCAGTCCTGTTTACTTTTTTTAATGCATTTGCGTTTTCATAGAAAAAGTTTTGCATGCATTTTTCTGGCCTCTTCTTTACCTTAAAGTAAGCCACTTGCAGGTAATTGTAAGGCGTCCTCTTCTTGAACTCCAGCTCTATAGTCTCACTAACTTTATGGAGTGTCGGTGGTCCCAGTTTCTCGCTTTCACATGCGTTCACACAATCGGCCCGTTTGAGAATCCTCTGGAAAAACGCTAAATCCTCCACGGCCCCGGTTCCTGGGATCGGGACACCCACACCTGAGAAAGGGTCTCCGAAAGCGGTGTGATTCGCGCAGGATAAGCGGCAGTGCGTCTGGATTTTACGCAGCGCTGCTTTATTCCGCAAAGCTCTTTCCATGTTCAGGATCACAGCCAGCCAGTCCTGCTTATAATACGCCTCCACCGCGTTATCAAAAAGCAGATCGTACGGCTCAAATATTCCATTGGTTTGAGTGTCACACAAGGTGAAATGGACAGTGGAGAGGACTGATATCAAGGACAGTGAGGTCCACATCTCGGAGCCTGTAGGCCTGTCTGTGAGGTAGAACTTGGTTTTGGAGAATCCCAGAAAGTCTTTGGAGAGGGTGGAGCTCCAGGACTGTGTGAAAGGCTGGCCTGCGCACAATAGTGACCGCCCTGTGTAAGAGCTGAGGAATTTAGGGCAACTGTGTGATTCTGGGTCTAGTCACGGATTTAAAAGGTTTGAGTGACGCATTTTCAACTAAAAATAAAGTATGTATACTGTACGCATACTTTATAGTTTTAGTTGAAAATGCATAAATTATACAGTATCCATAAATTATATACAGTAGGCCTACAGAAACAGTGAGAATTGAGTTGGCGATTTATTTTTTGCTCTTTTGATTTAGTTTTTTTCCCCCTCCAGTAGCTAATCGGGATGTAGTGTCTATTTCTATTTTTATATTCGGTAACACTTTACAATAAGGTTCATTAGTTAACTACTGTAGTTAACATGAACTAAGCATGAACAGCATTTATTCATCTTGGTTAATGTTAAATTCAAACGTTTACTAATGGATTATTAAAATCAAAAGTTGTGCTTGTTAACATTAGTTAATACACTGTGAATTAACATGAACTAACAATAAGCAACTGTATTTTCATTAACTAACATTAACCAAGATTAATAAATAGCCTACTGTAATATTGTTCCTTGTTTGTTCATGTTAGTTAATACATTAACATTAACTAATGGAGACTTATTGTAAAGTGTTACCTTATATTCATTTGTCGGGAGCGAAAAAAGCTGACTAACACTACAGTGGCCATTATTAAGTCATTAGGAAACATAATTTACCTCGTATTAACAGATCAGCAGTTTGTATACGTTCTCATAAGAAAAAAAAATGCAGCATAATTTTGCCTAATGTAATTATTTTATCAAGTTATTTTTCCCTCATTACAAATTATGTTTTATAAAGTTATTGTAAAGTTTTAGGCCGAGTTTAAGGCAGACTTTTTCCAAATAAATAAATAAATGAACCTGGAAACTGTCGTTGTTGTTGTTTTGTTGTTGTTGTTGTTGTGTGTGTGTGTGTGTGTGTGTGTGTGAGGGGGGGGAGCTAAGGCTGAAAGTGTTGATCTTTGTAAAAAAAAAAATAAGAAAGAGATAAAACCAGTGAACAACTTGCATAATTCAGATAATATGAAAGAATCGTCCAAAGGTGTAGTGCAAAACAAATAATAAACTTGCACAGACTTGCAGTTTTTTGGTTTCATAATTTCAAACTTGGATCTTTCATAACTGCAGAACACTCACGTTACTACGTTCTCTGCAATCTACATAACAGGACAGATAGGCTACCGCTAAACAAGCATGATCCCTTTATATTTGAGTTATCGATATAATAAATATGAATATGCATTGTGTTATTCAAAAGTATTATTTTAGTAACACATGCTATAGTTTAAACCCTCATTAAATATGTTTGGAAATTATTATTTGACAAAAATATCGGTATTTGTACACAGGCAACTATCACGGCTACTACTCGATTCGGGAAACACAGTAGGACCCCAGAAACGCCTCCTCCGTGTTGATGCAGACTTTTGTGACTCCGGCGAGAAGTCTCGTGTTAATTTGCTGAGCGCTACGGGATATTTAATTACAGAATGGATAAAACCATCTGTCTACCACAACAACCCAACAAAACCACCACGGGTAAGACAGTGCTTTCAACGGTAAACGCCGTAATTATTTTTAGTTTAGGTTGTCTGTTTTATTGAATTGGTCGAGTCAGTCATTCCACCGCACCATAGTAATGATCAAAGCAGTGGTTGAATGTTTAACTACAAAGTATTATCAATGACAAACAAAATATATGCTTGTTGTAAGTCGACAAAACTTTTGTAATGTTATGAAATGTCCCATTATTGTACGGTGGCCGAGAAGTGCTAAACAAATCACAATTCTGAAATCAAAATAACAAATTACAAACGCAAATGCAAGTTTAAAAAACAAAATAACAATTCAGAAAGCACAACAACAATTCAAAAAACATTATAACAAGTCAGAAAACACAATGACAAATCCGAAAACAAATTTACAAGTCAGAAAACACAACGACAAATCCGAAAACAAATTAACAAGTCAGAAAACACAACGACAAATCCGAAAACAAATTTACAAGTCAGAAAACACAACGACAAATCAGACAAACCGGAAAAGGTAGGTATAGTTTGAGACAGCGCGCCATTGGTTTGGGATTACTCACCGCTGACTGGACGAGACATCTGTCAATCAACGTATACAGGAAAAACCAGCCGAAGAACAGCAGAGTCGTGGTAGAAAGTTCGGAGATGGTATTAAAGTAGCTCAGTTTAAATGTATTGTATGAATTGCCCTTACTATGAAATAAAAAATACGGAGTGTATATTTACATTTAGTTAAAAGTGGCTGTAAAACAGTTTCTTTCTTGAGAGAATGGGTATTACTGTCGTACCATGGCGCAGTACGTTTTTCTCTAACCTTTTTCCATCAGTAACATCAGCACTTTGAGGTACGATATCTATATCAGTAAGATCAATTCCATGCGGTATAATTAAATCTAGCGTATGATCTGATTTGACTTTGTGTTTTCTGACTTGTTATAATGTTTTCTGAATTGTTGTTGTGCTTTCTGAATTGTTATTTTGTTTTTTAGACTTGCATTTGCGTTTGTAATTTGTTATTTTGTTTTCAGAATTGTGATTTGCTTTGCACTTCTCGGCCACTGTATTATTGCCATTATATTCAGTGCCATGATACTAAGCTACCAGCACTCACATGTTCAGAAGTTACAATTATATGCTTTATTTAATAAAAAAAAAATAAAAACCTTAACACTCTGAACATCTGCTCTGCACCTCCAGAGGCGCTTACTTTCACGCTCAAGAGCTTATCCAACCTGTTACATACACAACAGTTTCCAGCACTGATAATAAATCAGCATATTAGAATGATTTCTGAAGGATCATGTGACACTGAAGACTGGAGTAATGATGCTGAAAATTCAGCTTTGCATCACAGGAATAAATTAGATTTTAATGTATATTAAAATAGAAAACAACGTTATTTTACATCATAATAATATTTCACAATATTAAATTTTCCCTCTATTTTTGATCAAATAAATGCAGCCTTGATGAGCATAAGAAACTCCTGTAAATCTCTCTCTCTCTCTCGCTATATATATATATATATATATAGAGAGAGAGAGAGAGAACAAAGATCTTCAGCCTCTCACTGACAGCCATCATCCCACACTGCTTAATATCTGCTACCATCATCCCTGTTCCTATAGAAGCAGCCACCAATAACTCTGAACGATTGCAGACCGGTTGCACTAACACCAGTAATCATGAAGCGCTTTGAGAGATTGGTCTCACAGCACATCAAATCAAGTCAAGTCAAGTCAAGTCACCTTTATTTGTATAGCGCTTTATACAATACTGATTGTGTCAAAGCAGCTTTACAGTGTCAAACAGGAAAATAGTTTGTCAATAATGCAAGAGGACAGTAACACAGAGTCATTTTTCCAATTAAAGTCAGTTCATTGATGATTCAGTGATGTCATCATCCAGTTCAGCTCTCTTCCAATAGTGTCTGTGCAATCAGTCAAGCGTCCCCAACTAAGCAAGCCAAAGGTGACAGTGGCAAGGAACCAAAACTCCATCAGTGACAGAAATGGCGAAAAAAAACTTGGGAGAAACTAGGATCAGCCAGGGGCCAGTTCTCCTCTGGCCAGGCAAAACCAGCATGGCGTGGTTTAATTCCAGGCTGCAGCGCACGTCAGATTGTGCAGAGGACTTGTCTGGTTTCCGTGGTCTTGTGCCGATGGTCGTCGAGGTGACGAGGTCTTCGCAGGGGATCTGTCTCTGGGTGCTCGTCTAGTTGACATGGTCTCCGCGTGCAGAGGACTTGTCTGGTTTCCGTGGTCTTGTGCCGATGGTCGTCGAGGTGACGAGGTCTTCGCAGGGGATCTGTCTCTGGGTGCTCGTCTAGTTGACATGGTCTCCGCTGACATTCAGGGCTGTAGAGGTCGTCTCTAGGTGCTGATCCACCTGGTTTGGATCCGTATGGCTACAGTGACCTCCGAATAAGAATGAAAGAGCCTAATATCAGCGTAGATGCCATTCTTCTTACTATGTAACGAGCAATTTCTTTTATTATATATATTATTCTCTTATTTTAATTTCTCTTATTATGGCAGTGGCGTAATATATTGTAAGAAAAAATTAGGATGTTGAAGATCTCAATGAAGATGTTTTTTGCTGCATAGCAGTGACAAAGTACATGTACTACCTTGGGTTCAACGGAGTCAGAATAAACCCTGAACATCTTTAACTCATACCTTTTATACAGTTACAATTTACTACTCTTAATGTAAAAGAAGTTGTTTCTGTCGTAACAGCTGTGCTCTGTATGTTAATTAAGTTACTTCAGACACCCCATTGTCTTAGATGATTCTCGGTGTCCCACACCCATTCCCATTCTACAATTAAAGACCATTTGCTCAGGATGTGATCATCCCAAATGGAGCAGAAACAACATAACTGTTGACTTTCTTCTTCTAATAATTAGGCCATTTTGGAAAATGAGCATGATTTAAAATGTATTTTGGCGAGGAGTCTGCCACTAAAAATCATCTCTATGCTGTGCAACAGGATTTTACATGTCAACAATGTTAATATTATAGTAACTTTGGTGGAGACCAGCAGTAACCCGAGTGGAATGGCACTGGTGAGCCCCTACCAGACTAACCGGGTTGGGGATCCCATGGATCTAGTTGCTCTGGCACAGCAAGTACAGAAGGTAAGTGATGCTTTAGCTCTGTCGCTTTACTGATATGGATATACAGTTTTTTTTTTTATCAATCATGGATTTATTTATTTATTTATTTTGGGAATTTTAGGGAGATGACTTTATTAGAGCCAATGCTTGCAACAAACTTACAGTGATTGCTGACCAGATAAGATACCTTCAGGAGCAAGCAAGAAAGGTAAGATTGAACTGTCAATTAAATGACCATTTTGTTTTACAGCAGTACCGCAAATGTCCCTATAGACTTAAAGGAATAGTTTATCAAAAGTTATTTTCCCCCCATCCAATATATAGGTGAGTTTCTTTCTTCACCAGAACAGATTTGGAGAAATGTAGCATTACATCACTCGCTCACCAATGGATCCTCTGCAGTGAATGGGTGCCGTCAGAGTGAGAGTCCAAACAGTTGATAAAAACAATCCTCAAGTAATCCACGATTCCAGTTTTGAAGTTAAAAGCGTTTTGATGGATTTGTTTCTTGCAAACATGCAGCTTTTCACTTCACAAGTGAGTGTGGATTACTGTGATGTTTTTATCTTATTCTGACGGCACCCATTCACTGCAGAGTAATGCTACATTTTTCCAAATCTGTTCCCATGAAGAAACAAACTCATCTACATCTTGGGTGGCCTGAGGGCGAGTAATTTTAAGCAAATTTTCATTTTTAGGTGAACTATTCCTTTAATGTTTAAATATCTCTGACAATAATCTAATATGTGACAAATAAGTAATGTTTAAATAATTTTGTGTTTGCACTTTAGGTTTTAGAAGATGCCAAGAAAGATGCTGAGCTTCACCACGCTGCCTGCAATGTTGTGAAGAAACCAGGAAAGATGTATTATCTTTACATGCGTGAATCCGGACAGCGGTACTTCTCCATTCTGTCTCCACAGGTGAGTTGATTGCCACATTATGAGTGTCTGGGTCTCATCAGTTGACATGAGTGAGAAATGAGGTCAATCTGAACTGGTTGGTGCCAACTAGTAGTGATAGTGAAACAAAATGTTTACTATGTGTGACTGTAATTGCAAACTCAGAAATGAGGAATTCTGCTGTTCATTAATTTAAAAAAATATAGAAAAGGCCACCAGAAAACAAATAATTGTGTTAAAATAAAGTATTTAACAGCTAATTTATTATGATACGGTTTTAATCTCTTACAGGAATGGGGTCCTAGTTGCCCTCACAAGTTCCTTGGCGCATACAAGCTCCAACATGACATGTCTTGGACACCACAAGAGGAGGTTGAAAAGCGGGATGCTGAAATTGGCATCATGGATAAACTGTTGAACAGACAAACTGCTCTACCAGCCTGTACTGAGCCCAACTTTGAAATCAGTCTTTCACAGTGAAAGGGCACAGCTCACTCACAGACTGTCTTATCTGGTCATGGAAGCCACATCGTCTTAAAATATACTAATTGTTTGTTAATAGAAATTGTTTGGCAAATTAAAATCTTTAGTTTTGCATACTGAAAACTGCCTTGTCACTACTACTGGACCTGTAAATCTGTCATTCAGTCATGCCAGAGTCTTAACTTTGATAAAGAATATCTCTTTGGTTTTGAGACTTTAGTCTTTGCAACTTCAGGGATCTTATCTATGCACAATCAGCTTGTAACACTCCAAAGAGAAAGGAAAACTTGAAATCGCATCATATGACCCCTTTAATTTCAGAGCTACAGATATTTTTGGGTATGTTGTTTTCATTAAATCATTCATTCAGTTATTCAGTGTCTTATATTGATTTTTCTTTTTATAAAGCAGTAGAAAACACTGCTTACTCCACATAAAACAGCATAACATGTGCTCATATATATTTTATTAAACACATTACTCAGAGATTTTATATACAGACACGACTGGTGTTATATCAAAAAAGGAAGTAATAAAAATAAATTTAATTGGTTAAAATCAACTATGTAAATTAACACCTGAAATACATCCATTTAGCCATCTGTTACTGTTGTGCTACAATGATCAGTAATGTTTTGGAGGTAAGAGTTCACAAAGGGTAACAGCTCCCAGTTGTCCGTTGCAATGCTAACCTGAATGGCATCTTCAGCCTGTGTAATCTTCAAAAGGACATGGCACATGGGTGGAAGAAAGAACAAGACTTTCCACAATCTTTTGCTCTGCTGATCTGTAATAAGGTAACCCTGAAAATGTGTCTTGATGAGATCAGCAAGACTTTCATCTGCAGTTTTGAAACAGAAAAGACTAATGGCAGATTTGTCAGGATTCCCAGAGGCTGCGGCCTCCCAAATGCAGTCGAACACTTGCTCTTTGAATTCACAGGACGTGTTTGGCGGTAAAGGCAGAGGAAGGAATATCTCAGGGAATGAAACGCTCACATCAGGCAGTCGGCTGTGCCAAGAACGTCCATCTTGGGTGGTAAATATGGCACTGACGCATAAAGTAGTAGGGTAGGGTTGAAAGGGCTTGAGCTTAACTTTGACCACAGGTGGCTTTCTATCTCTGAACACACATGGTACATGTATGTCATTTACCTTTGCGTAATTTGAGTCTTTCAGCTCAAAATGCAGACAAATTGTAAAGACTTTATCGAATAAAGGATCCGTGTCTTTTGCATGAGTCAGATTGTATCTCAAGGTGACCTCGGAGCCAAATCCAGGTGTCTGAAACTGTCCTTGATAAACCTCCAACCAATTCTCAGCCTCTCCCGTTGTCTCCAACAACTCCGAACTTTCCGAAGACCTTTGTGAGGCTTTTTCTTGCACCTTGATGAGTTGTAAAACATGCCGGTTAGTTTTGTGCACAGTCAGGTTACTGGCGATCCCCTCACTTTCAGCCATAATTGCAGAATGCGACCGCTCTTTGGCACGTCCTCCATCAAGTCCTTTGGCGAGAACCCCTGTCCGCTTTTCCCACGAAAGGTTGGTTAGTAATGTGTAGTAAAAGCGAGCGTGATCCTTAATGTCCATGCCATCATAATGTACCGATATGTATTGCAAAAGGTCGGCCAACTCAATAAACACTTGATCAATGGAGGGATGCTCCAAAAGATTGCGACAAACAGCGAGAACTGCGTTTCCAACCTGCCAGTTGCCTCTTTCACACAAGTTGGAGTTGATGAGAATATTGAGAAGGAGGTAAATGGTGTTTCTCTGGGTAATCTGACCCTCTTTAGCCACTCTTTTCAAGACTTTCAAGTGCCAACTCAAATTATGAATCGTCAACTGCGGTGGAGGCATTTCCATAATGCATTTCTGAAGCCCTATCAACAACTTCACCGACCAGACTGGGTCATCCAGATGCTCCTGGATGCGATTCGCGAGGCCAATCAAATTCGGAGCGAGTCGCGAATGTCTGGAATACATGTCGCATAATTTGTCGATCACCTTCTCGGAGAGTTCTTCCATGCCACTGAAGTGCATGAGAAAAATGAACAACGCTCTGAAAGAGATCACCACCACATCTCTGCTACCGTCATTGTCTATGATTTTCAAAAGGGCCATTATGTGTTCAAACAGGTAGCTGATTCCTTTATCCGCTTCGCCCTCATCTGCTTCAAGGTGCACCAAACAAAGAAGGTTTAGCCTGCAGAGCATAGTAGCACTATCATTGAAAACCGTTGGATGAAGAGACACTGCCAGACGTGGCGTAACCAGCACAGGTAAACTCTCTTCTCCGCTGCTGGATATGGGCCGGTTCTCAGGGAAGTGCAGGATGCATTCCATGTAGAAGAGCTTTTCGGGAACTCTTAGGAGCGGATGCTGGGCTGTGCCCACGAGACGCTTGAGCAGGAAGTTCTCATCCTCGGCGGAGAAAAGGCTATCTGTGAATGTGTCCTTCATAAAGAGCGTGGCATGCATGAGCGAAACGTCTGCCGTTCCGAAGAGTCGCAGAAGCTGCGATTTGAATAACGTTGGAGAGAGTCCCGGAACCATGGCGACAATTTCTACAAGTTCCCTAAGTAGGGCAGACTGGGAAATAGGCGTTTGCAGGTAAGACTCCTCCAAGAGTGATGACATTATTGATTTGAGTTCTTTACAATCCAAACCTGGTGGCAAACGTGGGACTTGTACCATCATGTTTATTGGCAACAAGGTCAATCGTAACTGATTGCTTTTCCATGCAAACCCTTCATTTCCTCCTAAGATGCTCTTGAACTCTAGGTCAGTAACATCTTTTTGGCTCGTCAAGATCCTTATGGCGTTCTTCAGCCCAAGTGTATAAAGCATACAGTAGGACTGATGCAGAACTGTGGTCTCTTGCTGTTTTAGAAGATACAGGGCCTCTAACTTTTGAGGAAGAAGACCAGGGCTACAGGTTTCCATTTCTCGTAGACACTCACAAGCGGTGGCCCTTATTGGCTGCTGGGATAGGCCGCATCTGTAGTCATTGGTGTCCTGAATCATCTGAAATAGAAGGTCCAGCCAGTCTTCAGCCATCTTCGTGTGGTTAGCCAGGCAGGATGTGCATATTATCACGTTGGTGATGGCCAGCATGACATTGCACTTGAGGATGATGGATTTCTGTGGCGTGTGAGAGAAGACTGACAGTAGTTCAAGGGCTGTTTCCTCTCCCACAGAGGAAGAAGGGCAGAGAATGGTTGGATGCTCCAGTAGCACAGACACAAGGAGAATCTTATAATAAGGAAGAAAAATCACAATATTAAAAGTAAGTCAATTACAAGGGAAATGCACAGCATTTCTACAAAGCTTTACAGTTCATTAATAGGTCTAGTTACTGAAAAAGCTGCAAACATTGTGGAGCAGGGTTAATATTTTTAACTAAAACTAAAACCATTAAAAACTTAAAATAAAATAAACTTAAAATAAAATAAAAACGTATTTTATTTCAGCTAGTTGCCAAGGCAAAATCTTCTCATTTTCATTTATTTTAACTTTCACTTACTAAAACTGAAATAAAAATTAATAAAAACTATACACAAGTTGAAAATAAAAAATATAATACACAACAAAATGAATAAATCTTAAAAATTAAAATAAAAATCAAAACGACTTCAGTATTATATTAAAAACTATAATAGCATCCAGTTATAGTAAAATAACCCTGTATTTTTAACTGTTAATATATTTCTACTATTTCAACGTCTGTATACATGCACATCCACATGTATCACAATGTGTGTTTGTCTGCTTTCGTTACCTTGAGTTGATCATTGGCCTTATCATTCCGCAGTTCGTGTAGAAGTTCAGCCAAGAAGCTCTCAGAGGTGGTGGTGGCCAAAAACTGAGATGGACTCAGTAGAAAGGCCGATATTTTCTGATCCCAGAGATCCGCGATAGTCATTCTGGAGAGAAACTGTGACTTAAGATCAGAACAGAAGCATTTATGTGCATGGCAATGACGCTGATTGAGTTAATAATGCAACATTAAAATAAAAAGTGCATGCTTTCAATTTAACGACTCACCTATCAGATCACGCTTAAAAACATAAATAAAGCAATTTACTATGTAACATCCAACTATCAACGTCTCTGAAAATCATGTGTTCCGAAGCTGTCATATGAATGACAGTGATCTGTATATTTTAAAATTAAAGTCTAAGCCGCCAATTTCTAAATATCCCATAATAATCTTACCAGGTTGTTTCCCTTATCTAATTGTATAGTGCGTATTTTTAGATTTGTAAAATACTTTTCTTTTAATTTTACACTCATATTATTTACACTTACATTACTGAGCTGAAACAGGGTGCTTTTATTTTGAAACGGTCATGTGACCTTGTTTTTGACAAGCACTTTACTGCCATCGTGTGGTGCGTCAAATATTTAGGTCAAAAAATCAACCTAAATTAGAAAATTAGATAAATAATTAGACATGATAAAACCATACACTCTACAATGAATACTAAGTTCGTGGTTTGTAAGATAAGGTGATGTAGTACATCTTATCTTGACAAACAGCGAGCTTTATTGCTGTAATTAGCTACATATCAACACTGTTGCTCGTATTGCAAAGAATGGCAAAACAATAAAACATAAACGGTACGGTAGCACCATATACGTAATTAAATTAAGATGTTTTACTTAAATATGCTAAGTAACAATATTATAAACCTATTTAAATGGAAATATATTCAAATTTCATATATCAATGTTGTATTCCTATTCTTATTAAATTACTACTAATAATATTTTATATAGGCTACACTGCCGTTCAAAAGTTTGGGATCAGTAAGATTTTTAATGTTTTTTAAAGAAGTCTCTTCTGCTCATCATGGCTGCATTTATTTGATTCTTTTTTTTTTTCAAAGAAGTGAATGCTTTTATTCAACAAGGAGGTGTTAAATTGATTTAAAAAATGATAAAGACTTACATTGTTAGAAACGATTTCTATTTTAAATGAACACTGTTCTTTTTAACTCATCAAATAATCCTGAAAAAAGTATCACAGGTTTCCAACATTGATAATAAATCAGCATATTAGAATGATTTCTGAAGGATTATGTGACACTGAAGACTGATCAGCTTTGCATCACAGAAATAAATTATATTTCAAAGTATAGGCCTATTCAAATAGAAAACCAG